ATTCGGTCGGTACTGATATATTCCGCTAAACATGGACCCTTACAAAGAAAAGGCCCCCATTTTATGTGTAAAAATAATTTACCGTGATCTGCTTCACAAATCAATTACAAAGATATGAAAAACATTCAGCGCAAACCGTGAAATTCTCTGAAACAAAGGAACAGTCAAACAGCAGGGGTCGCGGACGAAAGAAACTTAGTAATTTCATTAAGCTTAGAATCTTAATGTTGTTCAGACGAAATAATATGGGGTGAAATCCAGCTGCAGAAAACTGCTGGTTTTCTTGAGACAATGCATTACATAGTTTACATGTCAGCCAAAGATTTATTACTTGCATATGCACATTGCAATGATTCTAGGAAAACAGATAACCAATGAAAACTTAATCAAATTCAAAACTTTGCTCACCTTGTAAATAAAGCATTGAAATAGTGTAATGAAAGAAACAGCCATTGCGTGCACTGCAAAGACGACATCGTTCAAACGTACAGGGTTAATGCCGTGTGGAAAAATGGCATAATACTGCCGCTAAAAACAAGCTGTAATACAGAACGTCCCAAAAGAATTCTACCTGTATTTCCGGTATGAAGTAAAAGGCAATGTTAAACAACGCGTAGTAAACAAAGCCAATGATGTTAAACGCCAGAAAGTCAAAATTCATGCCATCCACGCTGAAATACTCCCCTTTCATTTCTGTTTATGACAAAACTAGCCGGTGTCAAACCACAATGAATAAAACTGTTCCGCATCGCAAAGAGCGGCTTCTGTCGCAATGAAGATTAAACTGACGCATGATTATTGTAGTGGTTGCAATCATTTATCATTTAAGGCTAAACGAATTTTGAACATCAGAGCTGTTCAGGTTAATCAGTGGGATTATTGGGATTGTATTACGCAATTATATTAGGCGTTGCCCCAATGGACTCAATTCTAAGAGATATTTCCCTTGTTTAGATCATATTATCCTAATAAAAATTGTTTCTGATAAAGAGTTTAACTCATATTTTCAAAAATCATTTCTATTGCAATTTTACTGCCATTAATATTATTTTTGCTGTTTGCAGACGCCCTTATCTTGTTGGCATCTGCTGAAACTGAAACGAATGCGACGTCACTGGCATGGCTGCGAATGTGTCTAAAGCCAAATGCTTAGTGCTATCACATTTTTTCTGCACGTTGCACTCTGCAGAGACAGAAAAGCAGCGGTACAGATGGAGAACACGCACCTCTGGGCCGTGTTTACAGGTTATGAAAAATGGGAAAAGTGATCGACCGGCGAAATGGAATGGCTAATGACGTTAACGAATGGCTAACGACGTTGAATGAATCAGTTGTAACTGAAGCAGAGCTGAGTCTGAAGACTAAGTTCTCTGTGTTCAGGTCAATTTCAATTCTGATGCTGACCTAGTCAATGATTGAAAAACTACAACCCCAGGTATAAACGGCTGAAATGGGCTCTCTGAGACGAATCGCTGGGCTCACACATACATGATCCGGAGTTCAAATACTACCCGAGAGGTCCTTGGTGTACAGTCGCTGCTCCTCAAAGTTAAGAAGTTACAGCTGCGATGATTTGGGCACGTCTTGTGAATGCCTACAAAGAGGAAAGTCAAACAGCTATTGCCGACTAAAACCCCAGAGACAGCCAAAATTTCCTGGGGCAAATGTCTCGAAGAACTCTGCTCTAGACTCGGGTTATCTACGGCGTAAACCAAAACGCTGGCACAGGATCGCGCACGTTGGAAATACTGTCGCGTCAGCCTCCGCGACC